GCTTCGATTCTACTCTAGAGCTGTCTCTTTATAAACCCCTCTCCCTCCCCAGCCCCCAAACCTGGTGTGCTTGCAGTTCAGTCTCAGCAACTGGTCCATTCTTTTTTCCCCCTTCAATTCCCAGTTTTCCTAGTCTTTTTCCTTCCTCCTGATTTTGCAGCAAAATTTATTTTTACAGTTGTAACATCCTTACCAATCTTAGTCATTAAATCCAAGAAATAGGGAGAAAAACATTTCTCCCCTTGATCTGAGACCATTCCACAAATTGAAGGGCAACCAGCAGCAAATGCTTTTTGCAAGAATAATTGAAAACATCAACTGGAGAGCACAGAATTCTTTTGAAAGCCTGCCAGTTATTTGAAGTAACTTCGGCAGAGGAACAAATTAAACACTCAATATCTTAACCTATCTGGTTGCCTTCTTAGGAGTTGGTCTCTAATTTAATTTTTAGCTCTTCTGATACAATTTTTACTTTGTGATTGGCTCTGTTTGACCAGACCAAATTTTGGCTGAAACGAAAACCTAAGTGCTAACAAAGAAGCATTTCACGAAAGCAACCTTATCTCTTCACATATAGCTTGAATTCACTTTTAACCATTTAACAGCAGCGAAACTATCCTAGAGAGGGTGTACTTGATTCTAACTTTGCTTTCAATATGACGGCTGTCAATGTCACCCTGGTTCGTGACACCAAGTGGCTGACTTTAGAAGTCTGCAGAGAATTTCAGAGAGGAACCTGCTCTAGAGCTGATGCAGATTGCAAGTTTGCCCATCCGCCAAGAGTCTGCCACGTGGAAAATGGCCGTGTGGTGGCGTGTTTTGATTCTTTAAAGGGTCGGTGCGCTAGGGAGAACTGCAAGTACCTTCACCCTCCTCCACACTTAAAAACTCAGCTGGAAATTAATGGACGCAACAATCTGATCCAACAAAAGACTGCCGCAGCCATGTTCGCCCAGCAAATGCAGTTTATGGTCCAGAATGCTCACATGTCATCGCTTACTTCTTTTCCTATGAATCCGTCACTTGCAGCTAATCCTGCAATGGCTTTCAATCCTTACTTACCTCATCCTGGGATGGGCCTGGTTCCCGCTGAACTTGTACCGAATGCACCTGTTCTGATTTCTGGAAACCCGCCTCTCGCATTGCCAGCAGCTGCTGGTCCCAAACTGATGCGTTCGGATAAACTGGAGGTTTGCCAAGAATTCCAGCGTGGAAATTGTACCCGTGGGGAAAACGATTGTCGCTATGCTCACCCCACGGATGTTTCCATGATTGAGGCAAGTGATAATACCGTGACGATCTGCATGGATTACATCAAGGGGCGATGCACCCGGGAGAAATGCCGGTACTTTCATCCTCCTGCACACTTGCAAGCCAAACTCAGGGCAGCTCATCACCAGATGAACCATTCAGCTTCTGCCGCTATGGCCCTCCAGCCTGGTATGCTTCAGCTGATACCAAAGAGATCGGCACTTGAAAAGACCAATGGTGCCACTCCGGTCTTTAACCCCAGCGTTTTCCACTGCCAGCAGGCTCTGGCTAACCTGCAGCTCCCGCAGCCGGCATTTATCCCTGCAGTGCCCATGATGCAGGGCGCAGCTTCCACCACTGTGTCTGCAGCACCAACACCTGCCACCAGCGTCCCCTTCGCTGCAACAGCTACAGGCAATCAGATACCCCTATTATCAGTAGATGAACTGAATAGCAGCATGTTTGTTTCACAGATGTAGAAGTTACCAGTAGAACATTGAAATTCTGAACAACAGAGTTACAGAGTATCAAGATCTCTCCGTGAGAACCTCCATATGGCCTTTCCATATATATTCTCATAGGTCCTCTTCTACCAATGCTACAATAAGTGTGATGCGGTCAATATATTAAACCAAACGCATATACCAACCAACAGATTCAAACAAAACCAATAAAGCATTAAACAGTCAGTGGAGATGTTAAAACAAAACACACATAGAAAATGAAAAACTAACATTTATCTTATTTGAATTAGTAGGTAGAACACGACCATAAAGTTTTGTAGTTTGTTACATTTGTGATTATATTTGTGATTTTCCAATAACCATTATGCTGAGTCAGTCTCCACAGTGGACTGTTGGCTTACTGTGCATTCTTGGTGGGTAAATGTTCGTCTGTTTTAAAGTGTTACCTTACTGTTTTGTTTACACAATAGTCTATTGGGTTGATTTAGAATGTAACAAATGTATCCAGTACCATTTTCCTCACTATTGTATTGTGGTGTGGTGTGTTGTGTTAGATTTTGACATACTATAGTGTTTTCCTCTAAAAAAAAAAAAAAAATTGATAGAACTATACCTAAGGTAAGCATGAAAAAACAGAGAAAACACAAATTAATAATGTCAGAAATGAAAAAGTGGTCCTCTCTATTGATTCCATGGACATTAAAGGGATAATAAAGGACCACGAGAACTACTCTATGTCTACAAATTTGATAACTTAGATAACATGGACCCATTTCTCAAAAAAAAACACAAACTACTGGGGCACCTGCATGGCCACAAACTACTGGGCCTGCATGGTCAGACAGTGTCCTGTCTGACTCTTGATTTTGGCTCAGGTCATGATCTCAGGGTTGTGAGACTGAGCTCCAGGTGGGGCTCTATGCTGACCTTGGAGTCGGCTTAAGATTTCTCTCTCTCTCTCTCTCCCTCTGCCTCTCCCCCTCCCAGTTCATGCACATGTGTGCTTTCTCTAGAAAGAAAGAAGAAAGAAAGAAAGAAAGAAAGAAAGAAAGAAAGAAAGAAAGAAAGAAAGAAAGAAAAGGAAAAAAGGGAGAAAACACTAAAACTCACACAAGAAAAAAAATTTGAAAAAGCTTATATCCATTATAGAAATTGAATCAATAATTCATAATTTTAAAAGGAACACTGGGCTCAACTGGATTCTATGGTAGCCTACCAAACATTTAAGAAAGAAATGATGTCAATTCTCTAGAATATCTTCCTTATAGAAGTAGGAGAAACATTTCCAAAATTATTCTAGGAGACCAGCATTACTCTAATACCAAAATCAGACATTATAAAAAATAACAGTATAAGAAAGAAAAACTACAAACCATTATTTTTCATGAATATAAATGAGAAATCCACAAAAAAATCAGCAAATCAAAGCTTACAATGTACAAAATGTTTATACATCATGACCAAGTGAGATTTACTCCCGGTATGCAAGGCTGATTCAACATTCAAAAAATGAATTAATGTAACCCCCCATATCAACAGAATAAAGAATAGAAATCATATGATTATATCAACTGATTCAGGAAAAGCATTTGAAAAATCCCAAACTTACTCATGATAAAAACTCTCATCAAACTAGGACTAGAGAGGAACTTCCACACTTGTTAAAGAACTTCTACAAATACCCTACAGCTAACATCATATTTAATGGTAAGAACCTATATACTGCCCTTAGAATAGCAGAAGCGAGGCTGTGATATACCCTGTGAACATTCCTATTTAATATTATAATAGAAGTCCTAGTTCAATATGAGAGGGAAAGAAAATAAAAGGTATACAAACTGGGAAGGAAGAAATAAAACTGACTTAGTTTATAGGTGGCACATTTTTGTATAAAATCTCAAAGAATCAACAAAAATCTTTTCTAACTAATAAGCAATTATAGCAAGTTACTAGGTACAAGGCGAATATATTAAGGTTAATTGCATTTCTATCTACTGGCAATAAACAATTAAATTAAAAACATAGTACCATTTAAAATACCCCTGGGGTGCCTGGGTGGCTCAGTCATTAAGCATCTGCCTTTGACTTGGGTCATGATCCCAGGGTCCTGGGTTTGAGCCCCGCATTGGGCTCCCTGGTCTGCAGGAAAACTGCTTCTCCCTCTCCCACTCCCACTGCTTGTGTTCCCTCTCTCACTACTCTTTCTCTGTGTCAAATAAATAAATAAAATCTTTTAAAAAAAAATACCACCAAAATATGAAGTACTTAAAGATAAATCTAACAATATAAGTAGGCAACTGTATGTAGAAAAAGTATGATGAAACAAATCAAAGATTTAAATAAATAGAGGCATATTTCCATAGTCCATGCTCATATCCTGGAAGAGTCAATATTGTAAAGGTGTCAATTCTACCCAAAATGATACAGAGATTGAAAGCCATCCCAAGTGAAATGTCAGCAAGCTTATTTTGTGTATATCAGCAAACAGGCTCTAAAATTGTGTGGAAAGACAGAAATGAAACAAAACAACAACAGAATAACAAATAGAATACTGAATAAGAATGAAGTTGGAGAATTGATATTACTGGCACTAACCAACCTCAAAACTTACTTTAAAGCTACAGTAACCAAGACAGCATTCTGTTGATGGGAGAATAGATACACATGACAATTAAACAGAATAGAGAGCCCAGAAATAGATCTGCATAGATAGAATCAACTGATTTTTGACAAAGGAGCAAAGATAGTCAATGGACAAGGGATAGTCTTTTTTAACAAATGGTGCTGGAACAATTGGAGATTCATATGCCAGAAAGAAAAAAAAAATCATGACACAGACATTACAGGTTTCACAAAAATTAACTGACAATGGATCATGGAACCTGAATGTAAAATGAAAAACCATAAAACCTCTAGAAGAAAAGAGGAGAAATCAAGGTGAATTCGAATTTACTGATGAGTTTTTTATAAAACAGCAAAAGCAAGATCAATGAGAGAAATACGGTAGATTTTATTAAACAACTTTTTCTGCAGAAGCGGCTCTGTAAGGGAATGAAAAGACTGATTGGAAGAAAATATTTAAAAAATATTTGCAAAATGTATATCTGATTAAAAAAAAAACTTGTATCCAAAATATACAAAGAACTTTTGATATTCAACAACGAAAAAACAAACAATCCAATTAATTTAAGTGGGCAAAATATCTGAACAGACACCTCACCAATTAAAATAGACAGATGGCAAATGAGCATATGTAAAGATGCTCAACATGCTGGCAAGGCTATAAAACAACAGGAACTCTTACTCATTCCTACTGGAAAGGCAAAATGATACAGCCGCTTTGGAAGACAGTTTGGCAGTTTCTTACATAGCTAAACATATTCCTAGCATATGATTCAAAAGTTACTCTCCTAGATATTTACCCAAATGAGTTGAAAATATGTGTCCACAAAAAAAGTCTATTTACAAATATTTATAGCAGTTTTATCCATAATTTCTCCAAACAGAAAGTAACCAAGATATCCCTCAATAAGTGAATGGATAAACTGTGGTATATCCATTAAACAAATATTATTCAGTGATAAAAGAAATAAGCTGTCAAGCTACAAAATAGACATGGATTAATAGTTAATGCATATTACTTAGTGAAAGAAGTCAATCTGAAAAGGCTACAATGCCCTAAGAAATCTAATCTAAGATTAAAGTGAGCGAATGTGGCTAATTGGCAATTCAACCCAGATTTTTGTGAATTCTATAATTGTGGTTTTTACTCTACCACATTGCTATAAAAGAGGATTTTAGATTCACTAGGAACTTATGGACATTTTTCTAAATTGTGGAAATGCTACACTATAGTAGAAACAGAACTTAGAAATAAGTTACTATGGGGTGGCCTCACATATCTGTAGGGACACTCTGAGATCTTTGAATACCGATGTGTGACTTTCAGAACATGGTTGGCTTCCACTCTATCTCCTGGAGAACCTAGAGAGATGCCAGGGAACTATTATTACACACTTACATCCTTTCCCCAAATATCTTTTGCACCATTTGTTCTTGTTCCATTGGAGAGAACCCCATTGTAGCAGAGTCTGGCAAATTGTCACTGAAACTTGTGAAAAATTTAAAATTGTTATTGACTTGGTCTGGACTAAATTGAACATTTTCAATGAAAGACTGCAATAGGCCCTGGGGAACTACAGACCAGTATGCATCATGTCCTTAAATGACAGGCTGCAGAATGAATAATAAGATTTAGATCCCTGTCACTTCAGTAAGCTTCCTACTTGGAGAACTGCAGAACTATTTTTATACAGAAAATCATGCTTGTCTAATCTATCAATATCTTTTGAAGACATAAATAAATTCAGAAATGCTTAGACCTTAACATTTCTTTGGCAATTTTCTACACTCAGACAATTTTTACATGCACAGATATGGAACTGAGAATAATGTTTTACTACAGAGATCTTCCTGCGACATGCAAAACAGAAAAGGTAATATAAACTTTTCTTAGAGCAGTGTTGTACAAGAGAAGTATAACATGAACCACGTAAGTCATTTTGAATTTTTTAGTAACCATGATAAAAAAAAGTAAAGAGAAACAGGTGAAATTATGTTAATGACATATTTTATATAACTTCATCTTTATATCTAAAACTTCATATAAAATTATCAATATAAAATGTATGAATGAAATATTTTATAATACTTTTTTTCATATTAAGTCTTTGAAACCTAGTACACTTTTTACAGTACATGTCAATTTGGACTAGCCATATTTTTGAGCTTATTGGCCACCTGTGGCTAGTGGCTGCCATATTTGACAGTGTAGGCTTACAGCAATATGTCAAAGAAGAAAGAAAAACTACTTTTAATGATACCCACTAGTTCCTTAGATCCCTGGGATTACACAACGGACATTAGCATTGGAGAACATGTGACAAGATACAGTTAATAGTAAGGTAAAACAGCAATCTAATGTCTCAAATGGGCACAAAAAGACCTTCAGTTACTTGCTTAACTAGTCATATGATGTATTGTCCATAAGGTATGTGTGTTCTGTCATCTCTTAGCTTTCAAAATATCTGTTGAATGGATAAATGAAAAGCAAGGAAAGAACCAACTTTCATTCTCTTGTTTCAGAATTGGTCAGTTTTGGGGGGTATAGCTCAGGGGCAGAGCATTTGACCGCAGAATTGGTCAGTCTCTACTCCAGGATCTCACAAGGCTTTGGACAAATATGCTTCTGCCCAT